TGCTGTGCGTGCTCTGAGGTTTGATACGGAAATGATTTTTTTTAAACTTTTATTTAATGCATATAATTTTCCAAAGTACGACTTATGGATTACAATGGCTTCCCCCCCATACCGTCCCTCCCACCCACAACCCTCCCCTTTCCCACTCCCTCTCCCCTTCCATTCACATCAAGATTCATTTTCGATTATCTTAATATACAGAAGATCAGCTTAGTATACATTAAGTATGGATTTCAACAGTTTGCTCCCACACAGAAACATAAAGTGAAAAATAATAGATGATTTTTTTTTAAATGATGATGAAATCAGAGCAGACCTATTGTCATGTTTAATCTCAGATCTGGAAAAAGTGGTGCTGAAATTTATATGGAGGCACAAGAGACCTCGAATAGCTAAAGCAATCTTGTACAACAAAAACAAAGCCGGAGGCATCACAATACCAGATTTCAGGACATACTACAGGGCAGTTGTAATTAAAACAGCATGGTACTGGTACAGAAACAGATGGATAGACCAATGGAACAGAATTGAAACACCAGAAATCAACCCAAACATCTACAGCCAACTTATATTTGATCAAGGATCTAAAACTAATTCCTGGAGCAAGGACAGTCTATTCAATAAATGGTGCTGGGAAAATTGGATTTCCACGTGCAGAATCATGAAGCAAGACCCCTACCTTACACCTTACACAAAAATCCACTCAACATGGATTAAAGACCTAAATCTACGACCTGACACCATCAAGTTACTAGAGAACATTGGAGAAACCCTTCAAGATATTGGCACAGGTAAAGAATTTCTGGGAAAGACCCGGGAGGCACAGGCAGTCAAAGCCAAAATCAACTATTGGGATTGCATCAAATTGAGAAGTTTCTGTACTGCAAAATAAACAGTCAGGAGAGTGAAAAGACAACCGACAGAATGGGAAAAAATATTTGCAAACTATGCAACAGATAAAGGGTTAATAACCAGAATCTACAAAGAGATCAAGAAACTCCACAAAAACAAAACCAACAACCCACTTAAGAGATGGGCCAAGACCTCAATAGACATTTTTCAAAAGAGGAAATCCAAATGGCCAACAGGCACATGAAAAAATGTTCAAGGTCACTAGCAATCAGGGAAATGCAAATCAAAACCACAATGAGGTTTCACCTCACCCCGGTTAGAATGGCTCACATGCAGAAATCTACCAACAACAGATGCTGGCGAGGATGTGGGGGAAAAGGGACACTAACCCACTGTTGGTGGGAATGCAAACTGGTCAAGCCACTATGGAAGTCAGTCTGGAGATTCCTCAGAAACCTGAAGATAACCCTACCGTTCGACCCAGCCATCCCACTCCTTGGAATTTACCCAAAGGAATTTAAACTGGCAAATAAAAAAGAGGTCTGCACCCTAATGTTTATTGCAGCTCAATTCACAATAGCTAAGACCTGGAACCAACCTAAATGCCCATCAACGGTAGACTGGATAAAGAAATTATGGGATATGTACTCTTTAGAATACTATACCGCAGTAAGAAACAACGAAATCCAGTCATTTGCAACAAAATGGAGGAATCTGGAACACATCATGCTGAGTGAAATAAGCCAGTCCCAAAGGGACAAATACCATATGTTCTCCCTGATCGGTGACGACTGACTGAACACCAAGAGGGAAACCTGTTGGAGTGAGGTGGACACTGTGGGAAATGGTGGCTTGATCAGCATAGCCCTGACTGTTAATGAACAACTTAATACATTATCCCTCTTAGTAGTTTTTTTATCTGTTCTACTTAATATGACTGGTTTAGATCTGTAATTGATGCACAGTTATTCTTAAGTGTTGAAAATTAACTGAAATGTGATCCCTGTTGAACATGGTGGTGGGAATGGGAGAGGGAAGAGATGTATAATTTGGGACAAATAAATAAATAATTATTTTTAAAAAGTTATTCAGTGGGACCTGTTAAAGCATGATAAGAAATATTTTATTGTGTACCATCATCATAATGAAATTTTACAGTAAGAGTGAGATATTGGGCACATGTATGAATACAGCATAGGTGAGTTGGATTTTGTAGACAAGGAACAGGTTTCAGGTTAAAGGACCACTAAAAAAATTAGGCAAAAATCATAGATAAGAGTAATTCTGGCTGAACCAACCTACAAGGACTTTTCTTGAAGACATGTCTGATGTCAGAAATCAATTGCCTAGGGGGCAATGGAGGATGAGAAATAGTGGAACATGGGCATGGCCGGGTATCATGGTTCAGAGATCCTTGATAAATTGACTTAGCCATGATTTTTGCTAAAACTGGATTTGACAAGGAAGAACACAGATGAGCTAACAGACATTTCAAAGATGGAGTAAAATTTGATTAGGCAAAGAATCTTTATAAGAAAGGAGGGACTTTTATACACACAGTGTGACACGTGCGTGCAATCAGCAGCCATGGTGGTAGCAGTGACTGAACTTGGTTTAAGAGTCTCAGTAAGATGCCTGAGGCTGGAGCAGAGGTTACAAGAGTTGAGTTGTGGGCGATTTTGTAATTTTCAAAACTGCTCTCACTCTGGAAGTGATGGGAAACCTTTGCCAGAATTGGAACAGGGCAGACATGATTTGACTAACAAGATTACATCCACATGCAACAACTGAGTGAATAAATAAAACCAATTAACTTGAAGCCCATAAGGGATGAAGGACTTGGTTAATGATAAAAATCTAATTGCCCAGTACTACAACTTAAACGGAATTCTTGTTGTTACCGTTAAGCATAACTGATTGGAGTTTTTCGGAAGACAATGCTTGAATCTTTTATTTCCCTATAACAAACAACACAGCCCACAAATCCCAAGAACAAAACAAATTAATGTGTATTGCATTATTGAATAAATGTCATATGTTTTTAAAGCCTGAACCTTTAAAGATATGAAGGCTTTATCTTTTGAAAAAGTCCAATGTCTTCTTCAAACATATAATCTTCTCGAATATTGCTATTTGCCCTTTAAAAATAAATTTACCATTATTTAGAAATATTTCAGAAATATGTGCAGTGTGATAAAAAAAAAAAAAAGCATCATCAAATTCAAAAGAAGGAAACCATGCTTCCCTAAAGATCTCAGAAAACCCAATGCTGGGCTAGTCCAGAAAACTAGCCTGTGGAGACCAGGAATTACTGACCCCAATTTCTGAAAAGCAGCATTTAATTGGACTCCTCATACTAACTCCATTTCCTGGAATGAAGAGAGGTCCTTGTCCTCAGCTCTCAACGAACATTATCAAAATGAAATGTTGTTACTTAGGCATCTCTTGCAAGCATTTTGTCTCTTTTTTATTGGTGCTGTAGCTTATATTTAAATCTTTTATCTGTCATTTTCATTTCTTGGACAGAATAATCCAATATATTTGCTCTTACTCTACAAAGCAGCATAAAGCAAGTTTAGTAAGCAGTAAAACTATATTTGCCAAGGAAGATATTGGATGAGGATGTTGAGTGCTGTTCACATGCACTATGCAAGCCAGGACATATGGTCTAGAAGATAAAAGGAAAGTCTATTGTACCTTAATCATTAAATCCCACATGTTTGCCACTGAGTGGCAGGGCAAAATGTTCTGAAAACCCTTGGGTCATAGCAAATGGACAGATTTCTAAAACATTAATTCCATCTTCCAGAACAATAGAATATTGGATTTCAGCATCACTTAAAATGATTTTTTAAACCTGGAGTATTTCAGCCCAATGTGACTTGTTTCCTGATCACCATTATGGTTGGTTGCAGTTCTATTTTACTTTGTTGGATATTCTTTGTATGCAAGGATAATCACCACACCTGAACCTTTATTGTTTACATGACCCCTGGTGCCTCAATGTTTAAAAATTCAGTTAGCATGATAAAAGTTCAAATCTTGACTCCAGCATACAATTTCCCCCTTATGAAGAAAGTAATTATAATAATCACCATATAAGTATATGTAAGGATTAAATGAAATAATCCATTAAAATCTTTGCAGTTTGCTTAGCATATAGAAAAATCAATAAATGTTTTTCAATAGTAGTAGTAACAGTACATTAAATAGTTGTAGACTGTTAAATGGTGGCAGTTATATGGGGCCAGCATTATGGTATAGCTGACAAAGCTGCTGGCTGCAACACTGGTATCTCACAAGTGCATCAGTTCTAGTTTCGGATGCTCCACCACTGAACCAGCTCCCTGCTAATGCATCTGGGAAAGTAATGGAAGATTGCCCAAGTACTTGGAGCCCTGCCTTCCATATAGGAGATCCAGATGGATTTCTTGGCTCCAGACTCATGTTGACCCAGCACTAACCAGCCATGTGACCTCTGGGGAGTGAACCACTGGATGGAACATCTTTCTGTCTGTCTCTCTCTGCTACTGTTAATCTGCCTTTAGAATAAATAAAATAAATGTTTAAAATAAAAAAATAATTTCTGTGCACCTATTTTCTTATGTTACAGCATTGACAGAATCCTCAAGTTTATTAAATAAATGTATTAAATGAATGTATGCATCTTTGTGTTTTCCCGAATTTCAAAGCAATAATTTCTAACGTTTTTAAACATTTTGTGAAACTAATAATAATGTACCTTTAAAGAAAATTACTTGAGAGTCAGAGACAGAGAAAGAGAGTGAGAGAGAAACAAAAGATACATAGACTGAGCTCCCATCTGCTGATTCACTCTCCAAATGACAGCAATAGCTAGGACTTGTCTAGGTCAAGCTTAACCCTGAGAAATCCACCCAGTTCAGTCCACCAGTTTCACTGTATGAGCCATCACCTGCTGCCTCCCAGGGTACACATTAGCAAGAAGATGGAATCTGGAGAGGAGTCAGGACCTGAACTCAAGCACTCAAATATAAGATGCCCTAACTCCAGCAGCATTTTGACCTTAACCGAACAACCATCCCTAATGTTCTCCTTTGTTCCAAATAAACTCTGAATTATTACATAATTAAAACAAGCTCAATTTTATGCAGTGCTTCTTATAATATTGAGATGATCATATCAAATATGTTCTTCACTTTAATTGGTAAAATGCTTGAATGTTAACATTTTAAACCTAAATTACAAATGGTCTATTGGCTACTTCATCCTCTCTATTTGTATGTACATATTATGCTTTATTCAATACTGTTCTTAATTATATTATACTCTCATTTCTCTATTTTAACATAATTCTGGATTTGATCTAATTTTAAAGAATTTTTATCTGTTTTCAATACTGTTGCTGAGATTTATTTCTTCTTAATCCCCAAAACATGCAATGAGATTATGAAATCTAGTGTATACTTTTTATTCTAAAATATTTATATAATATTATGGTTTTTCTTTGACAATTTTGTAAAATTCTTCAATAGTCATTTTAGCATGAAGTTTTCTTTAAAGAATCCTTTTAATTAATTATGAACTACTCTATTATTTCCACATATGTTGAAATTGCTTGTTATTTTTATCTTATATTTGTTAAATGAAATTTTTAAATTTATCTTAAATATTTCAGATTTCCTAGCATAAGGTTTTAAAAAATAGGGGCCGGCGCCATGACATATGGGTAAAGCTGCCACCTGCAGTGCCGGCATCCCATATGGGCGCTGGTTTGAGTCCCAGATGCTCCTCTTCCAATCCAGCTCCCTGCTATGGCCTGGGAAAGCAGTGGAAGATGGCCCAAGTGCTTGTGATATTGGAGATGACCCCCTAAAATATATATCAAAATGAGGCCCCTTAAAGTTCTCCAGGAGTGCCACCTGGGGTGCCACATATGCTACTGGAATTTGGGGTGCCATACAATATCACCATATGCTTATTAATAAATCCCCAATATTAATAACCCCGAGAGAGTTCTTGTCTAATATTTAGAGAAGAATTCTAAATACCAGCACAGATAAATGAGGCAGCATGGTACATTTTAAGCTTTTATTTAGTGAGAAAGATACATAGGAGAGTGAGAGCTTTATCTAAGAGAGAGGGGTAAATCTGGGTTCATACCAAGCACCAGGAACCAGCCACGTGGAGAAAGAACATCTAGGCCAGGAATTCTAGGGTGGGTAGCCTGAAGGTCACATGCCCTGGAGCCAGGGAAGAAGCTCCTGGCTTCGCATGGGCGCAGCTCTGGCCATTGCGGCCATTTGGGGAGTGAACCAGTGTATGGAAGACCTTTCTCTCTGTCTCTCCCTCTCACTCTCTGTAATTCTACCTCTCAAATAAATAAATAAAATATTTAAAAGAAAAAAAGGGTTTAAAAATAATACCCCACTTTTTTTTACTTCCCTTATTATTTTCAATATCTTTTCTTTTTCTTTATCATGCTGTATGGATTATTGTAGATCTCTTGAACTTACTCCTTTGTTTTCTTTTAAATATCTAAAGCATCTTAGATGTTGGTTTTTGTTGTATTCCTGATATAGTCTTTTTAAAGAGTTTTCTTCATTTTCTTTGAACAGTTTTGTGAGACCTCTTCTAATTTCTTGGCTTTCTTATGGGTAGAATGGGAGAAAATTGTTATCACCTCATAGGAATAGTGAATTGAGTAAATATTATTTCCCAGGAAAAACACGGAAAAGATTTCATGGTAATTCTCAACATATTATCTCATGACTAATTTTTTTAAATATTTATTTGTTTATTTGAAAGTCAGAGTTACACAGAGTGAGAAGGAGAGGCAGAGAGAGAGAGAAGTTCTGCATTCACTCCCCAATTGGTGGCAATGGCAGGAGCTGTGCCAATTTGAAGACAGGTGCTTCTTCTGGTTCTCACAGATGAGTGCAGGGACCCAAGGACTTGGGCCATCTTCTACTGTTTTCCCAGGCCATAGCAGAGAGCTGGATCAGAAGTGTAGCAGCTGGGACTCAAACCGGTGCCCATATGGGATGCCAGCATTGCAGGCAGTGGCTTTACCCACTATGCCACAGTGCTGGCCCTGATTAATATTTCTAACTATTATTATCTTTGTTTAAGATTTATTTTATTTATTTGAAAAACAGGGTTACAGTCAGAGAGAGAAAGATTTTAGATGAATTGATTCACTGCCCATATTAATCAAACAGCTTGGAAAGGACCAAGCTGAAGCCAGGAGCCCAGAACTCCTCTGGGTTTTTCATGTGCAAAGCAGGGACCCAAGCACTTGGACTAACTTCTGCTGCTCTGCCAGGTGCATCAGCATGGAGATAGATTTGAAGTGGAGATTCCAGCATATGACATTCATACGCATGTTTGTTTCATGGCTGGTAACTTAGCCCACTGCACCAAAAACCAACCCCTGTTATTAAGTCTTTATATTTTTTATATTTATATTTTATTTTATATAATGAACATAAATTTCCGAAGTACAGCTTATGGATTACAATAGCCCCCCCCCATAACTTCCCTCCCACCCACAACACTCCCCTATCCCACTCCCTCTCCCCTTTCATTCACATCAAGATTAATTTTCAATTATCTTTATATACAGAAGATCAACTTAGCATATATTAAGTAAAGATTTCAACAGTTTGCACCCACACAGAAACACAAAGTGTAAAATACTATTTGAGTACTAGTTATAGCATTAATTAAACACTTAAGAGTAATTGTGTATTAATTACAGAGTTCAACCAATAGTTTTAAGTAGAACATAAAAAATACTAAAAGGGTAAAGTATTAAGTTCTTTTTTTTCTTTTTTCTTTTTTTTGTTTGTTATATAGTTGTTTTTTTTATTTAATAAATGTGAATTTACAAAGTGCAACTTTTGTATTGTGGCTTCCCCCCTCAACCTCCCTCCCTCCCATGGCCCTCCCCTCTCCCACTCCCTCTCCCATCCCGCCCTTCATCGAGTTTCATTTTCAATTACCTTCATATACTGAAGATCAACTTAGTATATACTAAGCAAGGATTTCAACATGCTGCAGTCACACAACCACACAAGGTATAGGGTATTGTTCGACTAGTAGTGCTGTTTTCTAAGTTTCATAGTAGAACACATTAAGGACAGAGACCCTACGTGGGGAGCTGTTGATTTAACAATTGGTACTCTTATTTATGACGTCAACAATCACCCGAGACTCTTGCTATGAGCTGTCTAGGCTATGGAAACTCCTTGAGTTCACCGACTCTGAACTTGTTTAGTCAAGGCCGTATCACAGTGGAGGTTCCTTCCTCCCTTCAGAGAAAGGCGCCTCTCTCCTTGATGGCCTGTTCCTTCTGCTGGGGTCTTGTTCACCAGGATCTTTCATTTAGATTGTTTTTTTGCCACCGTGTCATGGCTTTCCATGCCTGTGAGACTCCCATGGAACTTTTTAGCCAGATCCGAATGTCCCAAGGGTTGATTCTGAGGCAGGAGGGCTGCCATTTCTATGAGTCTGCTGTGTGTCCTGTTTCCCCGGCAGGATCATTCTCTCCCTTTTAATTCTACCCTTCATTATTTGCTTACACTGGTCTTATTCGTGAAATCTCATCAACACATACCCTATCTTTTTCATCGGTTGTGTATTTATACTTATCGCTTTACCAAGTGCACTGGCATTGATACCTGCCTCCTTGGTAAGATTGAATTGAAATCCCCTGGCACATTTCTAGTTCCACCATTGGAGGTAAGTCCGAGTGAGCATGTGCCAACCTATATATCTCCTCCCTCTCTTATTCCCACTCCTATGTTTAACAGAGATCACTTTTCTGTTCATTTTAAATGCCTAAGAATGATTGTGCATTGATTACAGAGTTCAACCAGTGGTCTTATGTAGAACAAACAGAGCAACAACAACAACAACAACAAAAATACTAAAAGGAATAAAATAGTAAGTTGTTCCTCAACAGTCTAGACAAGGGCTGATCATGTCATTGTCTCTCATAGTGTCCATTTCACTTCAATGGGTATCATTTTAGATGCTCGTTTAGTTGCCATCAATAAGGGAGAACATATGATATTTGTCCCTTTTGGTCTGGCTTATTTCACTCAGCATGATGTCTTCCAGCTTCCTCCATTTTGTTGTAAATGCCCGGATTTCATTGTTTTTTACTGCTGTATAGTGTTCCATAGAGTACATATCTCACAGTTTCTTTATCTAGTCATCCATTGATGGACATTTAGGTTGATTCCATGTCTTAGCTATTGTGAATTAGACACAACAGAGAAATGAAACTACAGACCTATCTCCCTGATGAACATAGATGCAAAAATACTCAACAAAATTCTGGCAAACTGAATCCAACTACACATCAGAAAGATCATTCACCCAGACCAAGTGGGATTTATCCCTGGTACAGGGATGGTTCAATATTCAAAAGTCAATCAATGTAATACATCACATTAATAAATTAAGAAACAGAAATCATATGATTATCTCAATAGATGCAGAGAAAGCATTTGACAAAATACAATACCCTTTCATGATGAAAACCCTAAGCAAATTGGGGTTAGAAGGAACATTCCTCAACACAATTAAGGCAGTCTATGATAAACCAATGGCCAGCATCATATTGAATGGGGAAAAATTGGAGGCATTTCCATTGAAAACTGGCACCAGACAGGGATGCCCACTCTCACCATTGCTATTTAATATAGTCTTAGAAGTGTTAGCCAGGGCCATCAGGCAAGAAAAAGAAATTAAAGGGACACAAACAGGAAAGAAGGAAGTTAAACTATCCCTATTTGCAGATGACATGATACTATATATAGGGGACCCAATAAACTCCTATAAGAGACTATTTGAACTCATAGAAGAGTTTGGCAAAGTAGCAGGATACAAAGTCAACGCTCAGAAATCAACAGCCTTTGTATACACAGATAATGCCAGGGCCGAGAAAGAACTTCTAAGATCAATTCCATTGACGATAGCCACAAAAACAATAAAGTACCTTGGAATAAATTTAACCAAGGAGGTCAAAGACCTCTATGATGAAAATTACAAAACACTAAAGAAAGAAATAGAAGACAACACAAAAAAATGGAAAAACCTGCCATGCTCATGGATTGGAAGAATCAATATCATCAAAATGTCCATTCTCCCAAAAGCAATTTACAAGTTCAATGTAATACCAATCAAAATACCAAAGTCATTCTTCAAAGACCTAGAAAAAACGATGCTGAAATTCATATGGAGAAAAAGGAGACCGAGAATAGCTAAAGCAATCCTTTACAATAAAAGCAAGGCCAGAGGCATCACAATTCCAGATTTCAAGACATACTACAGGGCAGTTATAATCAAAACAGCCTGGTACTGGTACAAAAACAGATGGACAGACCAATGGAACAGAGATCAATCCAAACATCTATAACCAACTCATATTTGACAAAGGACCTAAAACCAACCCCTGGAACAAGGAAAGCCTCTTCAACAAATGGTGCTGGGAAAACTGGATGTCCACATGTCGAAGTCTGAAGCAAGACCCCTACCTTATACCTTATACAAAAATCCACTCAACATGGATCAAAGAACTAAAGATGCGCCACGACACCATGAAACTAATTGAGAGCATAGGGGAAACCCTTCAAGATATTGGAACAGGCGAAGAATTCCTGGAGAAGACCCCAGAGGCACGAGTAATCAAAGATAAAATAAACAAATGGGATTACCTCAAATTGAAGAGTTTCTTTACAGCAAAGGAAACAGTCAGGAAAGCGAAGAGACAACCAAAAAATGGGAGACATTATTCGCAAACTACACAACAGATAAAGGATTAACAACTAGAATCTATAAAATGATCAAAAAACACCACAAAATCAAAACAAACAACCCAATAAAAAATGGGCCAAGGACCTTAACAGACATTTTTCAAAAGAGGAAATCCAAATGGCCAACAGACACATGAAAAAATGCTCAAGGTCACTAGCAATCAGGGAAATGCAAATCAAAAGCACAATGAGGTTTCACCTCACCCCGGTTAGAATGGCTCACATACAGAAATCTACCAACAACAGATGCTGGCGAGGATGTGGGGAAAAAGGGACACTAACCCACTGTTGGTGGGAATGCAAACTGGTCAAGCCACTATGGAAGTCAGTCTGGAGATTCCTCAGAAACCTGAAGATAACCCTACCGTTCGACCCAGCCATCCCACTCCTTGGAATTTACCCAAAGGAGTTTAAATTGATAAAGAAAAAAGCGGTCTGCACCCTAATGTTTATTGCAGCACAATTCACAATAGCCAAGACCTGGAACCAACCTAAATGCCCATCAATGGTAGACTGGATAAAGAAATTATGGGATATGTATTCTTTAGAATACTATACCGCAGTAAGAAACAACGAAATCCAGTCATTTGCAACAAAATGGAGGAATCTGGAACACATCATGCTGAGTGAAGTAAGCCAGTCCCAAAGGGACAAATACCATATGTTCTCCCTGATCGGTGACAACTGACTGAACACCAAAAAGGAAACCTGTTGAAGTGAAATGGACACTATGAGAAATGGTGACTTGATCAGCATAGCCCTGACTGCTAATGGACAACTTAATACATTATCCCTCATAGTATTTTTTTTTTGTCTGTTCTACTTAATATGACTGGTTTAATTCTGTAATTATCACACAGTTATTCTTAAGTGTTGAAAATTAACTGAAATGTGATCCCTGTTAAACATAAAAGTGGGAATAAGAGAGGGAAGAGATGTATAATTTGGGGCATGCTCGGGCTGACTTGCCCCAATTGGTAGAGTTGGAAACATACTAGGGGATTCCAATTCAATCCCATCAAGGTGGCATGTGCCAATGCCATCTCACTATTCCAAGTGATCAATTTCAGTTCACAATTGATCATAATGAAAGGACTAAGAGTCAAAGGGAGCACATAAACAAGTCTAGTATCTGCTAACACTAACCGATAGAATAAATAAAGGGGAGAGTGATCCAACATGGGAAGTGAGATACTCAGCAGACTCATAGAATGGCGGATGTCCTAAATAGCACTCTGGCCTCAGAATCAGCCCTAAAGGCACTCGGATCTGGCTGAAAAGCCCATGAGAGTATTTCAGGCATGGAAAGCCAAGACACTCTGGCAAAAAGATCTCTGTGAGTGAGATCCCAGTGGAAAGAACAGGTCTTCAAAGAGGGAGGTGCCTTTCTCTGAAGGGAGGAGAGAACCTCCACTTTGACTATGACCTTGTCTAAACAAGATAAGAGTCGGAGAACTCAAGGGGCTTCCATAGCCTTGGAAACTCATGACTGGTGCATAGGGAGATTACTGATGCCATAAACAGGAGTGTCAATTTGTAAAGTCAACAACAGGAGTCACTGTGCACTTACTCCTCATGTAGGATCTCTGTCCTTAATGTGCTGTACACTGAGGCTTAATGCTATAACGAGTACTCAAACAGTATATTTCACTTTGTGTTTCTATGGGGGTGCAAACGATTGAAATCTTTACTTAATGTACACTAAACTGATCTTCTGTTAAAAAAAAAGAAAAAAAAAAGAAACTATCAATTCCCAACTTGACTCTCACTGGGATTAAACATGACAATAGGTCTGATCTGATTTCATCATCATTTAAAAAAAAAATCATCTATTATTTTTCACTTTATGTTTCTGTGTGGGAACAAACTGTTGAAATCCTTACTTAAGGTATACTAAGCTGATCTTCTGTATACTAAGATAATCGAAAATGAATCTTGATGTGAATGGAAGGGGAGAGGGAATGGGAAAGGGGAGGGTGGTGGGTGGGAGGGACGGTATGGGGGGGAAAGCCATTGTAACCCATGAGACGTACTTTGGAAATTTATATTCATTAAATAAAAGATTAAAAAAAAAATGCTCAGGATCCCTAGCCAACAGGGAAATGCAGATCAAAACCACAATGAGGTTTCACCTCACTCGGTTAGATTGGCTTACATACAGAAATCAACCAACAACAGATGCTGGCGAGGATGTGGGGGAAAAGGGACACTAATCCACTGTTGGTGGGAATGCAAACTGGTAAAGCCACTATGGAAGACAGTTTGGAGATTCCTCAGAAACCAGCCATCCCACTCCTTGGAATTTACCCAAATGGAATTAAAGGGGAGAAAAAAAGAGCCATTTGCACCTCAATATTTGTTGCAGCTCAAGTCTTTATATTTTATGTAGTCTAATTGAAGCATAAAACAAAGAAGACACATTTAAATTTTAGTATGTTAGTTCTAGTTGCAAATAAAAAAGAAGTTGAAGTACATCATGTAGAGCACTAATGCCTTAGAAGGCCAATGTTTACAAAGATTTTTTGGGTACTGGACAATTTTCCATTTGGGATCTGTAGAATGATGTAAAACACAAAAGTTTTAATGGGCAAGAAAGGGGGTCGATGCTGTGGCATAGTGGGTTAATGCCCTGGCCTGAAGTGCCAGCATCCCATATGGGAGCCAGTTTGAGACCCAGCTGCTCCACTTCACATCCAGTTCTCTGCTATGGCCTGGGAAAGCAGTAGAAAATGGCCCAAATCCTTAGGCACCTGCACCCACGTGGGAAACCCGGAAGAAGCTCCTGGCTCCTGGCTTTGGATCAGCTCAGCTCCAACTGTTGCGGCCTATGGGGAGTGAACCATCGGATGGAAGATTCTCTCTCTCTTTCTCTCTCTCTGCCTCTCCTCTCTCTGTGTAACCAACTTTCAAATAAATAAATAAATAAATAAATCTTTAAAAAAAATAGCAAGAAAGGGTGATGCTCTCACTCTAGATAGATACTGATGAAGTGTATCTAATTTCTCTCAATTTCTATAGAGTGGTGAGTCATAGAAGAGAAAAAAATGGTAAATAGAAGGTTTAAGAGAATGGTCACTGCCTCCTCTCCTTTCACAATTAAATCCATTACATAATCCTTTCCTCTTCCAACTATTTATATCCTGAAATAAAAAAAAAATTCTCTATATTGTTTTTTCAATTCTCAGTTTTTCTAAGTTTTACCAGTGGTCATGGATTTCTTGTAAAATATATCTAAATGCAAAAACAGAAGCCAGTATACATGATCATTGTACTTCTCCTAGGGTCATAGGCAATGTGTTCTGTCTTTCAAATATCATGGGCGTCACTCTTAATAAATGTCACTATTTATGATGGCTTTCCATAATGCCATACAATATGTTTCCTTACTGTTATCTACTCCATGAAAAAATTTAATTTCATTTATTTTAGGAATTATCTTTAACATCATCTCATTTAATAGTACAATAGTTCAGTGGCCTCAGAGCATTAAAACCTAAATTCTATAATTTCTGGTTTTAAACAGTAAAAGTATACTTTCAATTTACATGAAAAACAAAAGTAAATTTCTAGTCAACAAGTGGCTCTCTTTTGACAGTGACACAGATCTCTGGTTTATTTTCTGTTAAGATATTCTATTCACAGATATATTGGTTTTCAATGGAAGGGCCAGGGACAGTGAATCACACTTGGACATGTGAAGTATCAATGGACCTTACTAGATGTGGAACACATCACTTTACTTCCCATAGCCTAGAAACCAGGGGTTCAGCCAGTTGGATGCCGAGACCCAGACACACATTCCAGGTGGCAAGAACTCAATTATTTGAACCATCACTGCATTACCCCAGGGTCTGCATAACAGAGCTGCAGTGTGGAACTACAGCTGGATATCAAACCCAGGTACACAGATGTAGAGTGCTGGCATCTTCATCACTAGGCTAAATGCCTACTTTTGTACGAAGCAGGAACATGTCTGACTTTTATTTATTTGTAATTTAGCATGTGTCATGAAATGTAATAACAATAAATATCTGACATTTACACTAGTTATTCAGATATGAATGTTGCCAAATACAGTAATTAATGAAGAAGTTTCATGCAGTTCAGTTTTATTGGAACAGTTATAAGAAAGGAAACAGAGAAAAGATCAAATGGATGTGAAAAAGGCTGGTTCATGAGATGAAACATCATTAGTAGCATAAATGGATTGCAGACATGGAGTTCAGAACTTTCCTAGACGAGAGCAGATATTCACAAGGAGAGGAAGGGGAGCAGCAAAAATCAATGTAAAGAACTGCAAAATTGGCCTGCTCAACAGGCTAATCCTCCCCCTCCGGTGCCGGCACACCAGGTTCTAGTCCCGGTCGGGGCGCCGGATTCTGTCCCGGTTGCTCCTCTTCCTGTCCAGCTCTCTGTTGTGGCCCAGGAGTGCAGTGGAGGATGGCCCAACTCCTTGGGCCCTGAACCCGCATGGGAGACCAGCAAAAGCACCTGGCTCCTGGTTTCGGATCAGCACGGTGCGCCGGCCACAGCTGTCATTGGGGGGTGAACCAATGGAAAAAAGGAAGACCTTTCTCTCTCTCTCTCACTGTCCACTCTGCCTGACAAAAAAAAAAAAAAAAAAAGAAAGAAAAGAAAGAAATAAAGAAAGAAAAGAAAAAGAAACTATAAAATTAATTTTTTTTGTAGAATGAGTTGTGGATGCATACTATTCATATTTGTTATTCCTTTATTATACTGTATTTTTCATTATTTTGTATACCTGTTTCATAATATACTATAAATAATCTTAGTGGCAATCATTTAGAAAGCAACATCTACTCATAGTGGCTATTTCAAGTCTCTATATTGTAAACTATTCAAAGAACACATTTAGTTAACTGAGAATTTTAAATAAAAGCTTTAAAATGGGAAAGACAAATATTATATTTACTATTTAGTAGCATTAGGACTTTAAATAGGGAAGTATTAATTTTAATTTTCATTCATTATATCAACTTTTTCTATCTTGCAAAAACATTTAAGAATATAAAAATGCAGGGCCAGCGCCGTGGCACACTTGGTTAATCCTCCACCTCCGGTGCCGGCATCCAATATGGGCACTGGGTTTTAGTCCCTGTTGCTCCTCTTCCAATCCATCTCTCTGCTGTGGCCTGAGATAGCAGTGGAGGGATGGCCCAAGTGCTTGGGCCCCTATACCCGTTTGGGAGACTGAGAGAAGGCACCAGGCTCCTGGCTTCAGATTAGCATAGCTCCAGCTGTTGCGGCCCTTTGGAGAGTGAATCATCAGAAGGAAGACCTTTGTCTCTGTCTCTCTCTCTCTCTCTCATTGTTTGTAACTCTACCTGTCAAATAAATAAATAAAAATCTTTAAAAAATATAAAAATGCAAAAACTGTATTACATAACATTTTCTACTCCCAAAATTCATCAAATATGTTTCATTGGAAAACACAATCACCTGCTTTATACTATGAAACATCACAATAAACAAGGACATTGCAATTCACTGATAGTGGTTGAATCTCTTTATTAATGGAAGCAGTAATTTCATGGCTTTGGGAATTTTTGTTATAGGTAGAGTCTGATATGACATTTTAGGTATACATATTTTAGGGCATCTTGGTAGCAAACAGACTAATATAGCAAATTTTTTGGAAGGCTTGACTTCAACTGTTGTGAAATAAAAAATGCACCCAAAGTCTAGTGTCTGCCATGTAATTAGTTCTCTTGCTGCTGGGGTTGTAGGGTTGTGAAATTATGGTTTATATATCTGCTGAATCAGCCTTTCCAGTCCAATCTTAGCATTATTACTACTAATCCGTTCCTCTTTCCTTGGCTGTGCATAGTCCCAAGAGGCTTCTCAATCAGGAGTCTCAATAAAACACTGAGCAGCTCCATATGGCTGTGACTGTAGAATGTGAAATGGGTTATTGGTAAGAATGTCCAGGGAGAAGACTAATACATTCTTTGCCTTCCAGGACCATAATTCCAAGTGATAATTAGAGGAAATTACAAAAGGGAGTCTGTTCCCAGTGATATGATATACTTTGTATTTTAAATTTCTCCAAAAATGGAGGATACATGTAATCCAGGTTTTGGGATATAGAAAACAGAACACTGTAAGTCATCTTGAATTTATTTGAGTTTTAACATCAAAAACTTCCCCGCAACAAAAGTCATGTTCTAAATATAAAGATCTCAAAAGTTAACAACAAACAAACAGAAACCTCTAATAGTCTTGCAAAAGCTTTATTGCATTTTTACTCTGACATTTTATAACTGTGAATCAGACAAATGTGGAGTTTCAGGTCTGTCATTTGATCTTTCTAGTTGTACTTGCATCTTTCTTTTTTTATTTATATCCTTTATTATGTACCAGATGTCTATATAGATAAAGATGCAGGTGACACAGCTATAAATATAGAACCAGTGTTCATTGATTCCTAGAACAAAAATGAAGTATGAATTTTAAATCCCCTAATTCTCATTTAAATTTAGAAAGAAATTTGTGTGAAAAAAACACAATATTTGCTTTGGCATATATAAAATGATAAAGTATAATTTGTGTAACCAGCTGTGATAAAAAGAGGAACAAATGAAGCCAGTTTCCAGGTGGGTGTTGTGGAAGCAGCGGGCTAAGCACTGATTGAGATGCCTTCATCACATACTTGAGAGCCAGTAAGAGACTCAGTCTCTTCATTTCCAATCCAGCTTCCAGCTGGCAAAGCACCTCAATATTGGGGGCATTTGAGAAATGAAATAATGAATGAACTTTCTCGTTTTTCTCTCTCATTCTCTCTTTCTCGTCTCTAATAAATATATAATTTTTAAAAAGTAACTACATTCTAGCTGATATTCCTTCCAGAATAATACTTTTATATCAAATAAATACACAGAAATGATTTTTG